CCTGCCTCCAGATACTTTTCTCATTCCCCACCTGCCTCCAGATACTTTTCTCATTCCCCACCTGCCTCCAGATACTTTTCTCATTCCCCACCTACCTCCAGATACTTTTCTCATTCCCCACCTACCTCCAGATACTTTTCTCATTCCCCACCTGCCTCCAGATGCTTTTCTCATTCCCCACCTACCTCCGGATACTTTTCTCATTCCCCACCTACCTCCAGATACTTTTCTCATTCCCCACCTACCTCCAGATACTTTTCTCATTCCCCACCTGCCTCCAGATACTTTTCTCATTCCCCACCTACCTCCAGATACTTTTCTCATTCCCCACCTACCTCCAGATACTTTTCTCATTCCCCACCTGCCTCCAGATACTTTTCTCATTCCCAACCTGCCTGTTATAAGCTCAGGGGGTGATGGGATCAAGCTGACAGTAGCTGTGCAGTTAATCATTTACATATAGAGCGTTTTTTTGCTTGTTTAAAGGGCAACTCCAAAAAAAAACCAAAAAACTGGTTAGACTAGAGTAAGCCTTTCTATCCTGCCCTTCCCCCTGAAACTTCATTAAATAAATAAAATGAGGCATACACTTATTCCATGTTCCAGCATTGAGGGTGAGTGTGGCGAAACCAGCCTCGCCACAGTCCACTGAAGGAGCCTGGTTGCTCGCCTGCTCCCTTTAGACTATTGCCCGGCAGTTAAAACCTTTTATTTTCCCTGCAGAAAAGCGTATTCGTGCCTTTCTGCAGACTGTTAAAGCCATGCTACCCCAGATAGCTATGCCATGGAGCCCAGCCGTATACCGAATGACTGTATGAAAGACTTTGGCTCCATGGCGATTGAACTGTATGTATGTGATCTGAGCGCCATCCGGTAATAATGTCAGCTCAGATCTAAGCTATCTGGGGATAGGTAGAATGTGTATGTTCGATGTGATAAATGTAACAGTATGTAATTTTATGTCTTTTATTGTCCTTTGTCTGCCATGTGGCTAATGGAGTTTTGCCTCTGTCCTTGGAGAGAATTGGATTACTTCCCAATTACCTCCAGGACAGAGAGGAGGGATTGTGCTGCATTGTGGGAGTGTTTAAAGGTGTATGTCTGTGGTTGGTCAATGTCCAATATGTTTCCCAGTTTCCCATCTGGTCCCCTAGGGGAGAGTGTCCACCAGGTGGGAGACCTGCATAAAAGCCAGGCAGGTAGCCCCAGTAAATCAGTTCCTGCTTGACCCTCAAAACGAAGTGTCGCCTCGTTATTGGGGGAAT